GCCTGTTTACTTGCGAACATTGGAGGAGTTATTAATTGATAGTGAACAGGTAAGTTATGTTGCAATTATAACTCTACATTAATAAAATTTATAGTTCCAACTTTAAAAGCATAGAGTGCTGTTGGTGTTGAATGCTTTTAAAAAATTCTACAGCATATGGTTACAATATGTGGTTACCATCACAAGTGTCAAGATTATGTGTGATACCTCACTTCTTTAGAGTAATTAACATCATATCACATTATTTGCAATGTGCATTTTTTAAATTTGTTCTTATAGGAAGATTTTGATGATGATAAAAAATCTCCTGTGATAAGTAAATGGTTTGTACCAGATGTTAAAAAAGACAATGATGATGATACTCATGATAGTGATGATATTGAAATTCTTAACTCTTCAATGTGCATGCCAGCTGTATCTTCACCAGCATTTTTTCATGTCAGAACCACTGACATGAAAAAACATCCCATTGAACAGTTCATTTTTGCATGTAGTTTTACGATAATTGATCAACATGGCGGGCGGTCACGTTTTATCGTGCTCCGCGATACTTATTGCTGTATGCTGCTTATTTTATTGGATTGGCGCTTGGAACTGGCAAAATATAACTCAAAGTTATTCTGCTGATTATCGTGGTGATCAGAGACAGCAGAATGTTTTGTTTGCTGATGTATTGTGTGTACGGCGATGTATCTTCAGAAGTAAAAGCAACACGAATGGTATATTGGCTGTTGACTCGCATGGAATGGAATCAACGAACGAGCTTTATAAGCACATTGATAAGTACTTTGAAGGTCGCATATATTCACTGTATATACAATGTCCATTAACCACCGCCGTATATTTTTCAACAAATATTACATGTTCATCATGTAAAATTAAGCGATCAAAGAGACCACTTCCCTACTACAATAATTCAACTGCCACGCACAGGTTGCTCTTAATAATTGCCGGCGTTGAACAGAACCCCGGTCCAAACGTAAATAACAAACCGAAGGGAACTCAACGGAAAGCTCCCCAATGCTCTGTTTGTGAAAAACCCGTCGCAAAGAATCACAAACGTTTTGTCTGTGAAGTATGCCATGATTTCACTCATGCTCGCTGTTCAAACATTACTATCAATTCAAAACTGTTTAGCAGTTCCGCTCCAACGACTTGGACTTGTCAAAAATGTCTATTTACGGTATTACCCTTTTGGAACGCAAACATATCTGAAACTTCAGTCCTTGACAGTGATTTGTCTGTTACGCAAGATGAACATTCATTAGTATTGCAAGCCAAATCTGATCAACTACGTATAATGCACTTAAACACACAAAGCATGATGTCTACATTTGATGAATTTATTCTCACAATCAATCAATTCCCCTTTGACATTATCACACTTAGCGAAACATGGTTAAAGGACAATCCGTATCTACTGGATTATGTTTCTATCCCAGGTTATGTAAATGTCTTCCGAAATAGAGATCGTATACGCGGCGGAGGTGTTGGTATATACCTTAGAGACCATATTAACTTTAAGCGGCGACAAGACATTGAGAAACTACAACCTGAAATGGAACATATCTGGCTTGAGATCCCTGGGCGCAATAAGAATAGTAAACTATTACTAGGAGTGGTGTATCGTTCGGAAAAAATCTTATCTAGGCAAATTTGGCTGGACGGTTTTAAAGTATATTATCCTATCTGGCAGCCCAATGGGATGGGTTACTTTTGATTACGGGAGACACGAATGTAGATTTGTTAAACTCTAGTTCACCATTGACTAAACAATATTTAGAAATCCTCGACATGCATAATCTTCAGCAGATGGTCACTAAGCCTACACGTATCACAGTTACATCGCGAACACTTATCGATCACTTTATCACGAATGATGCACATAAAATCACACATACTGATGTCATCCACTGTCCACTAGTTAGCGATCACAGCGCACCGTATGTATGTGTAAATGCACGAGTCACGCGATTTTTACCGCGATATAAATACCTTAGAGACGAGCGGAATTACACCGAAGCTGCATTTGTGGAAGACTTTAAAAATATACCCATGAGTATCGTGTATAGTGTTGATGACCCTGATGGAAAACTTGAACTTTTTAATACAATGTTTTCTAACTGCCTAGAGAGACATGTTCCAATGAAACGTGCTAAAATTACCCGCCCGCCCGCCCCATGGCTTAAGGACGAAAATATAAAGGACCTCAAGTGCAACGGAATAAACTCCACTTGAAACTCGTAATACCAACGACCCCACACTTAGGGCAACTTACCGTCAGCTGAGGAACATGGTTAAATCTAAAATTAAGAAAGCTAAAAGAAATTTTATGCAACGAGCTTTATCTAAGCGAAACTCAAAGGCAGTATGGCAAGTCATCCATCGCGTCTTGAAGCCAAACCCAAAACCAATAAGACAAGATCCAGATAGTCTCAATGCATACTTTAGTAACATTGCCGAACGTACCGTCAATACTACTAGCAAAACCATTGAGGAGCTACATGCAATCATAAACTCGTTTCAAGTGTGTGGGAATAACTTATGTACTTTACGTCCAGTTACTTATCACGAAGTCTTTTGTGAAATTAAATCTCTTCGATCTGACTGCTCAACCGGACATGATCAAATCCCTGCAAAATTTATCAAATTAGTTGCAGAAGAAATTACATCTCCCCTGACCCATATTATTAACTGCTGCATTGAAAAAGAATACTTCCCCTTGGCGTGGAAGCTAGCCCGTATCTCGCCAATCCCTAAAAACAACAATCCTACAACAAACAGCGACCTGCGTGGAATCTCTATTCTACCCGTTTTATCCAAAATTTACGAAAAACTGGTATTAAGACAAATGGTCGAATTTATCGACTCGCAACATCTATTACCCTCACACATATCTGGCTTTCGTAAAGGACACTCGACCACGACAGCACTAATCAGCATTAGAGACGATATTATTAAAGCGATGAACAGAGGAGAAGTTACGATCATGGTCTTTGCCGATTTTAGTAAAGCATTCGATACCGTTCATTTTGATATTATATTAAAGAAATTACACTCGATGGGTTTTTCTGCGCAATTTCTTCGGTGGACGATGAGCTACCTAACAGAAAGACAACAGTATGTCCAAATTGATGACAAGAAATCAGGGAAACTAAACACAAATTTCGGTGTTCCACAAGGGTCGATCCTCGGACCGGTGTTATTCAACTTGTATGTCGCTGATCTCGCAGATCAGCTGGGAACAATGTGTACTTGCCATCAGTATGCTGACGATACTACGATCTATAATTATGTAAAGCCAAAAGACCTTCAACTGGGTGTAAAACAAATGAATAACTCTTTCACGAATCTAGCAAATTGGTCCGATCAATCTAAACTTGCATTAAATTATGATAAGACTAAAGCGATGTTGATAACGACCCCCCAAATGGCAAATTACCACTCGTTACGAACACCAGGTATAATGAGTATTCACTTGGACAACAACAGCAGCTGCAATAATAACAGCAACAACAGTAAACCCTTGGAGGTAATGGAAAGCTATAAGCTATTGGGAGTGCATTTGAGCAATAACCTACGATGGGACAAACATGTTAACGAAACAGTCACCTCGTGCTTTGCTTCCTTGGCAATCTTGCGTAAATTTCGCAATATGGCGCCTTTCGATTTGCGGAAACGGTTAGCTGAAAGCCTTATTTTATCTAAACTTGATTACTGTGACTTGGTATTCTACCCTCTTCCCGCTAAACAATTAAAGCGTCTCCAGCGAGTTCAATCTTCCGCCGCATGCTTTGTCACAGGAAAGTTTTCAAAAGAAGATGCTGTTTTGAAATTGGGCTGGCTCCCGATGCTTGAAAGACGAGACTGGCATCTGCTAAAAGCTGCGTTCAAGGCCTTGAACGATGACCAATGGCCGGAATATGCGAAATTAAAACTATATAAGCCAAGGAAACCTGGTCTCTGTTCCTCTTCGAAAGATTTTCTAGAAACACCTCTCGATAGGGACATATTCCAATATTCCGCAGCTAAATGTTTTAACAAACTACCGCCAGCCCTGAGGGCTGAGAAAAACTTTAGAACTTTCTGTGCTGAAACAAAAACGCTCCTTCTTGATCAGGCAAGAGATCGAGTAGGATAACGCTAACGGTTTTAACCTGTACTCCAGCATGAGAATGTTCCGGACAATTATATGTTCTTTCTAATTAACTATAACAACTAATTGTAGTATAGATATTTTACTTTGTATTAATCAATTATAGTATAGGCATATTGTAGATGAAGAGCCATGTAAATGGAAGGCTACAATAAATTCGTTATTATTATTATTATTATTATTATTATTATGGTTGTTGATGTACATTGATCAATGTACAGAAGGTAAATATATTGTCATGCATTAAAGGTTTTATAATGCTTTGTTGTATTTATTACTAATGTATAAAATACAGTTACATATTTATTCTGTATTTAGAGGATAGCAAGGTTTCTCTTGGCCATTTGTGCATGTTTGCTACTGGGAAGCCACAAATTGGAGAGATTAAAGTGGAGTTCCATACTGACAAATCGAAGGTGATGCCAAAGGCTGCAACATGCCCAAGAGTATTAACCCTGCCAGTATGTCACCAAAAGTATGAACATTTTAAAAAGCAGATGGACAATGCCCTGTGGTTTGAATCTGAAGGGTTTCATTTAGTTTAGATATTTATTGAGGAAAAAATCTACAACCCAGCAGGGTGTTTTTAACAGCAGATTTGTTATTCCTCCACAATTGACATTATTTTTCATTCTGGAAATAGTTTTGGGTTTGACAAAGATAATGGACAAAGTTGTAGTTACAACAAACACTATGTCAGGGCTATCAATAAAACAATAGTTTGGGGTGTACATTATCCTGTTTCTTTCGAAGTTGAAAGATTTCTTTTGTTTTCACAATACACATATAGAACATGAATATATGACTTTATTTAAATGAATCAAAATGCAAAATTTAGGTACCTTTATGAATGCACCAAAGCTACTATTTTCCATATTTGGTATACTATTTTACAGAATTTGGTACGTCCCTCATAACAATCCAATAGACCCAGTACTCTGCTTGTGAATGGCACATTATACATCTGAAATAGAAGAAAGGTATTGCAAAACTTGCAAGTAACAAGCTATTCCATTTGTATCTGTTGAATATCTTTGTCTGATTTCGGTTACATGCACGTCTTGTTCTTCTGTGAGGTCAAATTGTATCTCTGATACCTCAACGTTATTGCCTGACTGTATTTGTGGTACTGGTCCATCTTCTTCAATGCCCAAATCTTCAAAGTCTTGCCTGTCTGTAAGTACGTCATTAACAGCTGAATAATCAGTGTTTCGGCTTGCAACCAATCCTCTTACCCAAAGTTGTATAGGTGTATAGCTGCATGCTGAAGTGACCGGATGACTGTTCCATTCTTCAATAAATGCATCCAAAGCTTTGTTAACAAGAGGCAAAAACACTAGGTGTAATGCCATAAGATGGAGTTCACTGTCAGGATCAAACACATTTTGCTGTTCCAAGTAGAGAAAGATGTTGACAAAACGGCTTGCTATAAGGCGATTGGTTTCCCTCCATAGCCTCTCAATTCTTTGATTTCTAACTGAGCTCCCAGTGATAAAACTTCCTCTATTCAAGCCACGGTTAGCTAGCATGAATCTTCCCACATCAATATTCTCCATTCCAAAATCAGACCTTACCCGTGATGGAATATTGTAATTTGCCACAGCATTTTGGAACAATCGAAGAACAGTGCTTGCCCTGTTATTATTTGATGCTTGTAGATATACAATAAGCCTGGAATATCCATCAATCCCACCGTGGATGACAATACGGTATGGTGTAATCAATTTATGATTCCCATCAATGTGCCTATATAGATTAAGAACAACACAATAAAGTCAACATGATTTTGAATATCCACAAGTTTAAATATGTATGCATGAGTATAAATATATAGTTATGAATATTGTACAGGGTTTATAAAAAAAGGCAACACTTAACATTCAAAAATATTCACTTTGTGAGCTACACAATTAGAAGTACTGTTGTGCATAATAAAAATATGAATATCAAGTGTGGTTGCCTTTCTTTTATAAACCCTGTACAGTGTCTTCCAAAACAATATAACTGTTTAAATCACTTTTGTGATGAAATGCCAAAGGGATTAAAATAACAATAACAGGTGTAACATTTTGATATTTACCATAGAAAATTGGGACAAGGGACACTATAAATTCTCCTGATTATTCTTCTTCGATGATTTAAGGCACTTGTGACTGGATCAACTCTTGAGATCGATGATTCGATACGCCTTCTTTGTATACGATATCCTCGACTAAGCAGTGCTCCTCTAACTAGATTTCGTCCTGCCTGGGGGGTGGTCTGCAAAACTCCTGTTACTATACTATCCAATTCAGCGTCAGTTATATCAGAATACCCAAATTCGCGAAACGTACCGGACTCATGGCGACGTCTGCGAAGTGTTCTAGGGGAAACACAGAGCATTCTAGAAATATCTGTCCATGAAAATCCTAATCGTCGAAGGTCGTTTGCGTCGATGCTATTTACAGCAAATCGTGGCCTTCCATGGTTCACAGCTGACCGTTCAACTGGGGCTGGTAATATTTCTCCCAAAGCTTCAATCGTTCTGTTTTCTCCCTCGATAACACGGTCTTGTAATCTAGCCCTCACATTGGTAGATATATCAAGAAGTCGTGATATATTATTATGCAATGACAGTTCATTGGGTATGGCTTCTAGTAATCTTGCCGCTAAAATACGTATGGTCTGTTCGTAGTCTTCTATTCGTCTGACAAAAAAATCTGCTCTATCATCTTCTATGTCTGCAAGATTCCCACCGTCAGTTAAAACGCGAGAATATGATTAAAAAAACTCTTCTATGTTAGGCAACCATCTTGTCGCCATTTTTAGTGGATTAAGTTGATTACAACAATTATGCAAATTTATGCATGGTAATTTTTTCAAGTCGAAATATGATAATTTATTTTGACTGGTTAATTGCGATTCAACTCCGGTTTTAATAATTCGACTTCGATTTTAAGAAATCGACTTCGATTTTGCAGTTTTGGTAATTTCGACATCGATTTTTGTAAGTTCGACATCGATTTGAATGACTGAACTTCAAATTTTTGACATGGTAATTTTGTCCGCTTTGGGCAAGCATAGAAGATGCTTGGATAAATTCATCATATCTGTCACACAATTCATCTATCATTGGTTCATCTAGGGCATCTAATAAGCTTTTTTCTGGAAATAAGGTCATGAAGCTTTGAACACCTAAATTAATGCCTTCGACCTCATCATCATTCAAAGTTTCAAGAAAAGCTTCAAATCTGAGTCGTTCCATCGCTTCATGAATCAGCTTATGACATGATACGGATCTGTTATAGTGCTTTCCGGACAAGACACCTTTCAGGGAGCCCATACTTACAACGCCAGATTCAATAAGTATGTCCTTAAAAGCAAGAAAAAATTCCTTAGCTTTTTTGTACTTCAGATCACACAGTCTGAATTTACTATTTCATATTCACATGATCGAAACTGTATTGGATGAGAATTGGTAAATGAGGATAAAATACAAAGGAAATACCTTAAGTCCTCCATCTTCAAAGATCTTCGATATTGCAGAAAGAAAGCTCATGCATGCATGGAACTCACCAAGACGAGCAGCAAATCGGTTGTAAAAGATCTGTTCCTTCCATCGTATGTGCTGAATCTTAGCATATACAGCCTCGTCAAATACCACTACAGTTTGTTGCAATTGCAAAGCATCCATAATTCTGATGCCTGACTGAAGAACTTCATAAAGGGTGGAATATTCAGTAGAAGGACCATTAATTAAAGGAAGATAACCAACTCTTGACACAGTAAGCACATCATCTCCCTTTAACATGGTGTTAAATCCAGTCCATCCTGGCCAGAGCTGTTCTTCTTTAGCAAAAACTTTAATTACTGCATACATCAGATCCAACTTAGCAGCTAATTTATCTTCTTATTTATCTTTTTAGTTGCTTTAACTGGTATTGTGGATTCTTTATCCAAAAAATGTGAGGTGAACTTTGGGGTCTTCTTAGCACCAATAGAATATGGAGAAATGGTGCTTGCTGGTGTACATATAGATCTCTGATTCTTTTTAATTGCTGATTGCTGAGGTGATATAACCCTTGGAGCACAAACTGCCACTTTCTGAATGATAATGCCATTTGTCACATGGGTTTGCTTATTAGATTCCTCCTTGAAATTAATGTTGTCAAACACCAAATTTACAAACCTCCCTGACATGATTTCTTTTGGTACCACATTGGACATGTTTATGGCTAGTTGTGCAAGCGCAGAGTCATAGGCCATGGTGGAGGAAACTGAAACGCAATGACCAAGCCCATGAAGTAGCTTGATCACACTTGAACAACCAGACATCTGCCTTACTGCTATTGCTAATGACAAACCTTTTGGTGTTTGTGTTCTTCCTCGAGTAAATGCATTGAACACATCTTGGCAAAGAGAGAAAACTCTAAGTGCATCTTTTTGATCACAAGAATTATACACTTTATTCTGAGGGTCATCAGAAAATCCCAACATCCATGACATGAAGTTGAATAGGATAGGAGGTACCAATTTTTTGACATTATTAATGGAGATATCAGAAGAAACTGGAGGCCAGGATTCATACCACCTTAACAAATGAATTTTATCAAAATATGACATTTTATATATGAAAGTATATATATATATATATATTTATATACTTTCACCAATCTGAAATAAAAAATGTGGCAAAACAATCCGATATTGAAATTTAATGCCATTACATAAATTATAGAAAACAAGGCAAACATCTATATTGCAATTGTCTGAAATAAAAATTGTTAAGAGACTTACATATGAAGAGAAATTTAATGGCTGTTAATACTTCAATGTAGAATTGGTTTTATTTTAGATACATGTTCACATACAGTAATGAAATTTAAAGTAAACTTACACAGCATTCTTCTTTCTTTCCAATTCCATCCTCAAGGCTAAAGCTACATTGTAAAATTCTCTTAGGGTAACTTCACCTTGTTTTGTTGCACAATCATCTTCAGGATTCTCTCCAATGTCTGAGGATGAGGATTAAGAGGTTTCAACCATTTTGAGAGCTTCAACAACATCAGATCTCCTTATTTCTTTATAATAAACAAGTGAGGTCTTGTTTTTTTGCCGAGTTGCTTGAAAAACAAGCTGAGGATATTTCTTTTCCATTCTCTGCTTCAAACGGAACATCTTGTAATTTGATGCATCAAGATTCTCAACAGACTGCACAGTCTTAACAAATGCATCTTTAACCTTTTTCATATAAAAGATACCTTCATCTTGAATAATGTTAGGTTCAATAAATGTTTCACAGAAAACTTTAAATGATGGCTCATACAGTAGTCCATACTTTGATGAATCTTCCTCTTTTTCTTGTGTTGTTTTCTTTGCATGTCTTTGGGATGAGGTGTATTTCTCATAGCAGCGCTTGTGGTATTTTACCTCCAATGCAACAATATCCTTTCCCTGAATCTCTCGAATAATTCTCTCATCAGACAATTTTGTAGCTGCTTCTCTTAGCTGGCCCCCATCAACAGTTTCAGCAGATACCAATTTGTCCAGTTTACTTTTTTTCTCTTTCTATGAAATAAAATATTATGCTTATGGACAGAATAATAAATCAGGGATATTTGACTTCATCAATCACATTTGTAGGGAATATTGTTGCACAGTGTGCTTTGTATTTTGTATAAGGAAATAATATAATGTATGTAATAGTATAGTTGCATATTGTATTCAACTACCAACCTTATCATAATAAAAAGACTTTTCCTTTTGGCAAATTAAACACACTGGCGGTAGTACATGTTTACTCCTTGAGGAAGCAGTTTCACTGCTACAACTAGTTGAGGAGTGGGCTCTTGACCGTAAAATTTTACTTGGAATTGGACTCTCAATGTCATCTTCACGGGAGGTCTCCCCTGAGGTTTGTCCACGCTTTACCGCTTTATTTCTTCGTAATTCTGCTCGATTTATTATTGTCTTATTTGTAAACGAAGAATAACATTTACGATGGAATGCCAATTGTTTAAAATCCAATGTGTTTTCCTCTTCTAAGCCCACTACTTCTTTCGATTTTACTGCGACGTCTCTTTGAAGTCCGTCCAATTCAAGCCATTGTCTTCTGCATTGCAAAAATCTTTTAAAAGATACCTCCGTGAAGTTTGTAAGAGGTCCAATACTTTCCTCGCAGTGGATTAAACAAACGCGATTATCCATAGCGTCTAAGCCATGTTTTATATTGAAAACAGAGATATATAAAGCTTTTTTACGCGAGATATTAGTGTGTTTCACATCAAAATGTGTATTGAATTACTGCAATTCTGCATATTTTGCGGCAAAATGAAAGAGTTTCCATGGAAACCAATATGGCGGTATCGAATTTCAAATGAGCTCGATTTACAATGTTCAGATATAATATCCCGACTATTTGCAACTTTTTGGAAGTGCCAACAACCAGAAATATCCTTTTAGTGTAAAAACCTATGTATACTGAAAGTTTCATGTAGTGCCCGAGGGTGGACAACGAAAATAGTTTTCTAGGCGACTTTTTGCCCTTCAGCGCACGGCCTATGTTCAACCTTAAGATGTTCCTGTAAAAAGTCAAACAACAAGTGCAATGAAATGTGCCAGTGCGTTGGGTGCACAAATTGCCCGAACGCATCCAGCCAAAGGCTTGAAGATGATTCGAAGGATGATTTGGGAAGTGATATGGAGGATGAAAACTAACGTTCTATACACCCGGTATTTGTATATATATATAATATATATAATATATATAATATATATAATATATATAATATATATAATATATATATATATATAATATATATATATATATTATATATATATATATTATTATATATTATATATATTATATAATTATATATATTATATATATTATATATATTATATATATATATATATTATATATATTATATATATTATATATATTATATATATTATATATATTATATATATTATATATATTATATATATTATATATATTATATATATTATATATATTATATATATTATATATATATAATTATATATATTATATATATATTATATATATTATATATATATTATATATATATTATATATATATATATACAGTAGGAGGCAAAAGTTTGAGT